CCCGTGGCGTTTTACATAAGGAACGTGGTGGTGGCGCTGGCTTGGGGGCGCGACGCTGCGCGGCGTTGGCGCGGTGCCAAGTGGAATTCGAAATTTAAGCTAAAAAGCCGGAAAGGATTTCCGCTCTCTGCGAACCGTCGTCTCCGACCCGCCCCAGGCTAGGCCCGCGAGGACGAGGACCCGACCGAGGCCAGGCCTTCCTGCACCCACCCGCCGTGAGCTTGGGCCCGGCTGGGGGTTGGTCGTGGTACCGGCTCGACTCCCTCCCCTGCACCCTTACCTCGTTGACCCCCCGCTGACCCTCCCCCAGGCCGTGCCACTACAGTAGTTCGGCGGCGCCCCCTCCCCCCTGCTGACGCTTTGTTCGTCCTGCTGGTGCGCTTTTTGCTGAGCCATGCACCGGCGAGTGGTGGGGCGCGGCGGGGGGTGGCGTGGCGCGGCCACATAGAGGCCCTGGTGTGGTCGTGTTGTGCCCTTTGTGCTCGGGCCGGCCCGCCGTGGGGGTGGTCCGAGCGGGTCCCAGCGGGGCGGAGGTGGACCCGGCGGGTGTCTTGTTTCCTCGGCTTTGCCCTAATTGAATGGCATCCTGCTGACTCTGACTGGACCGGCTGGACGTTGGACGCCGGTCAACCTCTCCTCCACCCCCGACTCGCGTTTGGTGAACGAACCACGATGGGAGGGGGTAAGGGGGGGGATGTTTTGCCCTGGGATGAGCTACCTCTCTGTTTTTGACGGTTGATTTGAAATAGAGTTCGCAATCAGTCGGGCCGCCCGACCTGCAAACTCTTATCCGAAATGGGCAGACCCACTGGTGCCGTCGTGCTGCTCTTTGTACACACAGAGACACTGGAAAACCAAATACAGGGAGTGTGTTCTCAGCGGCGGACTTTTTATTTCTGGTTATACTACCGCATCCTGGTGTGCGGGGAAGGGTTGCTTACCGACTTTTAAACCACGGCGCCTTATAGCCGCGTGCTAGTATGCTACCCGTCAGCACGCCTGCATGCGGTACCGTATAACCGGAAGAAAAGTCCGGCGAAGAATACCTATCCTTTAGCCCCCACCCTCTTTTTTTTTTTGCACCTGCACTCTCAGGTGTGGACTGACTATTGATGAAAAACTGCTCGGTATTCTTGGTGCATTAAAACCTAACGTGATTAGACAAAGGGTGGCGGGATGAGAGTGTGCTTTGTTGTCAGGAATGGAGGGTGCCTCAGGGCCTCAGGGCGCTCAGGGCCCCCGCCTTCCCCTTGCTCTGGCGAGGAGGCGCGCCGCCCACAGCCGACGTGTGCAAAAGTGTCCCTTTGTATGTGTAATTTTGGGGATGGATGGCCGGGGGGGGGGGTGAGACGGTGAGACGGAGAGACCTCGACCGGCGTCCTCGCCCTGGCTTTCACCACCTCTGCTCATCACCACTGCACGCTATCTCCTCACCGTTTATCCCCACCACCCACCTACCCTCCGGGCGAAAAAACAATTCTATCGAACTGGCTTTGAAATAAGATGTGTTATCAAGAGGTCCATCCGTTCCAAGCCTTACTTTTATCTGGGTGTAGTACAGGTGCAGGCTTGCGGTCGGGTTGCATACCCGCACAGGGCCATAAGGCGCGGTGTTGAGGGTGTGGGTAGGCAAGCCTGCAAGCACACCTGCATGCATGCGGTACCATCACCGCAGAAAGAATTGAACCCTTTTCCGTTTGGAATATCGACATCAGGGGGTTCAATTTTTTCTGCAAGTCCAGTATAGTCAGAAAAAGTGGGGGTCAAAACATCCATTACCCTCTACATTCCCCATTTCTCAAACACTATTTCTTTTACGTTGATTTGCTTTGCATCTGACTGATGGATCAACGATTATGGCGACCGTAAAAACTGACGACTCCGTATCTTAAAGAAGCCCCCCCCCCCCTCCGCAGCGGGCTGAAAATGTCTGTCCCGGTCGGTGCCGGTCAACCTTTATGCCACCAACTCTACCACGCCCTTCTCCGGCTCAACGCCCGCCACGACACACCGCATCGACACGGCGCGCGAAGTCTGACAAATGAGAAGGGGAAGCCCCGTTCTGTTGTCTACACTGGGTGGTGGGGCGGCGCAGGGCGCAGGAGGGGCCAACAGCCACCGCACCGGATCAGCCTAACCTCGAGGGGCGGGCTGAGGAGGGGGGGGGCTATAATAGTGCAGACGCATTTCACAGCGAATCACCTGCACTTGGCGCCACCGCACTCGCATCGCAGCACACGCGGCGCGCGCGGAGCGAGGCGGAAGCCAGCAGCAGGCCTGTGGGCGCAAAGGCGTGCTCTGACCGACCGTGTTGTACAATGATGGTGTTTCTGTTGCAGCCGGCCGCCGCGCCATGGATGACGTCGGGCCGGAGTGACCCGCCCAGCCAGCCATCGTCAGGTGAGGAGGAGCGGCCGGAGCAGCGGCGGGGCGAGGGGTCGACGACTGGACTGGTGTGCTACCGTGTCTCGGGCTGACAGTACCCCGAGAGTGTACCCCGAGAGTGTACCCCGAGAGGAGTACTCCGAGTGTACTACTCCGAGTGTACTCATTACTCCTGTATCCCACTGTCCCACCCCACCCCGAGCCAGCGCCTGCAGTCAGGCCGCCCCGCCGCTCGCCGGTGCGCTGCGGACTGTGCGCGGCCTACCTCCCGGGGGCTCTGAGCGGCTCAGCCCGGCTCAGGGGGCTGGGGAGCGGGAAGCCGGCGGAAAGGCTAGTGGTAGCGGCGGCGTTGGCTTCCGGAAATTATTTTTATTTGAACTGATCCCTCGCGCTGGCGCCGCCACACCGCTGATGGACCCAAGCGCTCCGGGGCGTGACGAGGCGCCGTGAGCGGCTGAAAGCACGGCTGAAAAAGCACGGCTGAAAAAGCCCCCTTTCGGCCTGGTTTAGCTACCGCAGCTCCTACCCACTCAGCCACTCTCACATCATATATGTGCTGCACTCGCTCATACAATCATGCTCTCACTCACTCAACGCTTCCGTATCATATGTACCGCACTCACTCCCTCCCGCCCACAAACGTACGTACACGGGGTGCAGTTCC